CTATGTTGGTTGCTTCCCCCCACTGTGGTTTCGCTTACGCATGTGTGCCGCGAGCTTGTGACTATCACGGCGCCTTTTGCGTCATGACAGCTGCTAATTGCACACTCAGACCTAGCAGTTGTGAGGAGATGCAAACGGGTGGTACGAGAATCATGCTGTAAAGGCTCCTTGTTAACGTGAGCTCTGACACAGGCGGGCGGTGAACCGATCGCATCCCTCTGTATGAAGCCCTAGTGTTTGCGATTGACCGGCCAGGTAAGGTACGTAAGAGGCGCAGACCATGTCACTGGATGTTTCGGGCACTGTGCCCACCTTGAAGCCTTCGGGATGTTACGTTGCCTTGGAAACATGGAGGGTATGGAAAGAAAGAGACAGTGCGGTAAGTGCAGCCCAATCTTTCTTTACTACACAGCACTCACCGTTCAAGTCAACGTGCATGCTTTCCACCTGACAGGCTGCAGTCTTCGGTAAAATTGATTAGCTGAGTTAATTCGGGTGGTTTCGGTTTTGGCGCCTCCTTCATACCGCAGTGTTTGATGGTTGAAAATAAGGTCGCATCTTCCAAACCACCAAACTCGGTTAGTTCCGTGTGTTTTACCTTGTTGATTGTTTAACCAGGCTTGTCTTACGGAAAGTTTGGTCATCTTACCAATTGTTGTTCCCTGGTGTACTTTACTGGAAGGTTTAAAGAAGGAGCTCACGGCGGAGAAATGGCGTGGTGAAAAGACAATGCAGATGTTTGCTTCTGTGAGCAGCGAGTTTCGCGAGGCATGTGGCCTTCTATTTGGCTACAATCTGGTCATGAGGCAGTCGGGCGTCTACAAGGTGCAACTGCGCTGCAACCTGCATTCAGGCGAATTTTTGAAGTTCACCGTAGGTGCACCTTATGCCTTGGTCTTTATAATTTCCTACACAGTATCTACTGATATGATTTAAGTAGCAATGGAAATTTTACATTGTAGCGCCACGGAGACTGTGTTCGGCTGACAGAATATCCCCCGTCGTTGTGCCACGATGAGGAGGTACACCAACTGCTTACATCCGACCTCTCTGCTCCTCAGCTATTAGCGCGCCTGTTTCTCACAACGGCGGAAAAACCTGAACTATCCACGATGCTCATGTGACGTTATCAACTCAATAACCATGCAAATAAATCCCTATTTTATATAAACCGTTGTCCTGCTTCTTCTTCTCTTTCCTAGATCCTGCGCATGGAACTGTTACAGCCCTGCCTCGAAGGCAAAGTAGTATAAAGAGGAGTAAGACGCGATCTCTGGAACAGTAGTTTTATTCTGAGCTTTCGGCTCCACACGAGAAGCCATCGTCAGAGAAAACGAGAAAACAGCAAGCGTTGGCTACGCGTA